GAGCCATCATCCAGGAGGTCTGCTTCATGGTATCCTGCCATCCTGCTGGGCCCGCACAGCGCAGGCCTCTCCCTCCCTGCCCCTTACGACTCTGGGGGGGGCACCCAGGGAGGCCCATGGGAAGGTCCTGGCCCAGCCTCTGTCTCTCCCTCCCCTGAGCCCTTTTCCTTCGTCTCAGTGCGCCCCTCCTCTTCTCCAAACATGGTCTCTCTGGTTCTGGCGGCCCATGAGGGTGGGGTCATAGTGCCCCGGCAGCACAGCTAGTGGCCAGTCAGTGCTGCTATCCACGAGCTTTTAGCAGGCGTGGCCTCTGAGTCCCCTGCAGGCTCCAGGCTTCCTTGGGTCCTGGCCAGAGTTGAGCTGTCTGCATACAACCTTGGCCCTGTCCTTGCACCGCTGCCCCACTCCTGCTGCCCCTCTGCGGGTCCCTCACTCCCCGCTCACTGAACGTGGTCGGTAGCCTCTGTGCTGGCGGAGCCATAGGGTGTGGAATTAGTTTTAAGCTCGGGCATGTTACTGCACAGAGGCGTGGCTTTCCTTTAACCAGATGTCTGCAGAAGAAGCTGTCGGGCCACCCCAACATCGTGCAGTTTTGTTCTGCGGCGTCCATCGGGAAGGAGGAGTCGGACACGGGCCAGGCTGAGTTCCTGCTGCTGACAGAGCTCTGCAAAGGTGCGTCCCTGCTGCCCGTGGTGGGAAGCACCCCAGGGCTCCTCGCAGGAAAGTCCTGGAGGCCAGCCCAGGAAACCCTCACGGCTCAGCCCTGCGCTGTCACAGGCCTGTGGTGCGTCGGTCAGCTTGGCGGCTGTGGGTCTGCGTTTGGTTGTGGTTTCTCTCTAGTGGCGTCTCAGTGCTGCAAGAGCCAGGGTGGCTGAGGTTCAGTCAGAAGGCAGCGCTGTCAGTGCGCTGAGAGCACCCCCACCCCGGGAGAGAACCGCAGAGTGGGCCGAGGGGGTCGTTGGTGGTGCTGAGCAGGTGGAGGATTGGGGAGCTTGCCCCCTCATTGACGGCATGTCCTCCGTGAGACCTCAGTCCCCCCGCCCCTCTGCAGAGGAGGTGATTCCTCCTTTGTCATTCATCCACCAGCCTGCCCTCGGGGTCATCTGCGCACGGATGCGACACACAAGTGAGCACAGTGGACAGAGGCTGCCCTCTGGAGCTTACTGTCCAACTCTTCCCAGATGACCAACAGGTCACCGAAGCTTGGAGCAGGGAGGGCTCCGAGTCAGGGAACCACACACTGAGGCCAGAATCAGTGTGTGTGGGTTGGGGGCTACTTGGGGGTGCGGTGTAGGTAGTGCAGGCAGAAGGGGGCCTCCTAGGAGGGACGGTGTGAGCCATGGTCTGCAGTCGGGTCCACCATGGCAGAGACTTGGTGGTCTCCGCTGAGGTGGAGGAGGCGCTGTTGGTTGGACAAACAGCCGTTGGGGCTGAGAGCTACTGGCCTCGGAGCCCTGGAGGAGTCCTGTGCCCACCAAGCTTGGGTCTGCCCCTGCTCTGGGCAGCCTGCCCTGAGGAAGAGGAGGTGGCCCTCGGATGCTCCGCGTCTGCCCTGGGGTTGAGCCCCGCCCTCAGTCTGGGCTGCCCTTCTTGCCTACACGTCACATGCTCAGTGACAAGCTGTATCTGCTGATACTGAATGTTCCCGGCGAGCAGCCCGTTATTTATGAGGACTGAGTGAAATGTGTATTTCTAGTAGTTTTTCTGTGTCGTTCCTGTGGTCCACCGGGCTCAGCCCCAGGGGATTTTGTCAGTGGCCATGGGACATTTCTCTGGGATGGTCGCAAGTGTCTGTAGTTCCCAACTCTGCAGTGAGGTAGCCCAGTCCTGGCTGGGTCCCCACCTGCCTCCCCATCCGCTTTGCCAGGGCTCCCCTCATGCAGGGCAGACCTCTCTGCTGGCGGTGTCCTTGGGGCACAACTGATAAGATCCCTTCTGCAACAGTCCAGGGGAGAATAGGTCTGTGGTGCTGCTGTAGGGCAGGGCTCCGGTGGGGCAGAGGAACTGTGGGGCCGGGCACCGGTGGCCAGTGGCACAGCTGTGGGCACCGAGCCTCCGTGGGGTCCGTGCAGCTGTGAGGGCCGGGAACCAGTGGGCGGCAGGCTCCCACCCAGACAGCGCAAAGCAGAATGGCGTGTGGGCCAGTGTGTGTGTGGGTGGGCAGAGCGAGCTTTCTCACTGACTGGGGCCGTGGAGGTCTAGCATGGTGATGTGCATTCACTTATCTCTTTTAGGACAGCTGGTGGATTTTGTAAAGAAAATTGAGGCTAGAGGGCCTCTGTCGTGTGATACAGTTCTGAAGATCTTTTACCAGACGTGCAGAGCGGTGCAGCACATGCACAAGCAAAAGCCACCCATCACACACAGAGACCTCAAGGTACCGCCCCGCACTGTGCGGGCCCTGCAGTGTGGACCACAGCACGTTGGCAGAGAAGTCTGGGGAACCGGGTTACCTGGGAAATGGGGAAGGTGGGGTCCAGGAGCATCGGAAGAGCAGAACTGGATTTTTCAGAGACCTCCCCTTTGAAGCTCTGGAGGCAGCCCTGTTTGTTCTCATGCCTCTTGGCTAATGCTCACGGGAGTCCGGCCTCTCTCTTGAGGGCCTGCAAACCCTCTCCTTGCCATGGACCCTCCAGGCCTCGACCCTGTGCAGTGGCTGCCTCCACCCACTCCACGCCCCCTTCCTCCATGCTACTAAGCCCAACGTCCTTCTGTAGGGACTGGTCCTCCTTGGGAGCGTCCAGCGTACGTGAATAGGCTCCACGCCCGCGAGTCAGAGGCACATGCTGCCTGCGTCCTCCGGGGCAGTGGCGCGCACGTGCTCTCTGGCAGTGTTTGCCCCCACTCCGCAGCTCTGTCCAAAGGAGGGGGTTCTTTGCCCTTCCAGACTCATTTCCAGCTCACCCCCCCCACCCCCCGCCAGTTGGAAACGCCTTAGTCCTCACAGCGACATCCTTGCTCTGCAGTACTTCAAAGGGGTCTTGTACGGCAGGTTGGCCCAGTGCAATCTGTCATTTGGTTCCCTGACGGCTCATTCCGTGGGCATTGGCTGTGGATCCCAGGAAGAGGAGCTCTTTGGACCACGGTGAACGTTGGTCAGTTTCTCATCGGTGGTTGTCTTGACAGGGTGTGAGCCCTGTTGAAGGTTACAGATTGTCTTTCCGTCAGGAAAGTCTTCAGGCTCTCGGTCTGCTTTTGGGACACAAAGCTGTGTCTTCTGCATGCCCAGCTTGCTGACGCCGAGTTCTTCAGAGAGTCCAGCTGGGCAGCTTCTTTGCTCGACACACAGATTGACTCGAAGTGGTGAGAGGATACCACCTTGACGCACGCCATTCCAGATGTTAAACCATACCATATCCCATTGTTCTGTTGATGTGACTATGCACAGCTTCCACATGGGCCCAGTGGAATGGTCCGGAATTCCCTTTCTTGGCAGTGTTATACATAGTTTCTTGTGATCCACCTAGTCAAATGCCTTTTCTTAGTCATTAGCACGAGCCAGCCTCCTAGTGCTCTCTGCTTTCAGTCAGGGGCTCCTTCGGACATCACAGTGATGTCACCGGGCCCACAGCCTCTGTTGAATCTGGCTTGCTTTTCTGGCAATTGCTTTTCAACGTACTGTAGCGACTACTCTCCTCTTTAACTTGTGCAGAGCGAACAGCTCCTAGTGACTCTCATAGGAGACTGGGCGTGTGCTGGTTATGCTTTGGGCTGCTAACCACGAGGAGGAGGAGGAGGCTTTCTATGCCCGTAAACCCACGGGGAAGCTGTGCCCTGCCCTATCCTGCAGGGTCCCTGTGAGCCCGCATTTCCTCCATGGCAGGGAGCTTAGTGTCTTCTGTCAGTTTGTCATACTGCGGTGGCTGACGTGTTCCCATGAGGCGGGAAGCCTTGCCATCGATGGAGGTTTCAAATACCAGCAAGGTCACCGTAAAGCCCCCATGAGGGCTCTTTGTTTTTCTGCTTCCCATTTCTCTGCTTGCCCCATAACGATGGCTGCACAGAAACTCAGCCGAGATTCCCCATGAGAGGAGGGGGTGGTTGAGGAAGGTGATGAGTGAGGAAGGTTCAGGCAAAGGTCGTCATTCACCAGCCCACGTTGCACCGTTGCAGGTCTGCTTGATAACTACTCGGGGACACACCACTCCGCTGTCAGCCTCCACCCGAAGGCATTCACCTCAAGCTCCGTGAGTCAGGAAACCTAGCTCCCTGAATTAAGTGCCCAGGGGCACCCCACTCCAGTAAGCCTGCCCCTCCTGGGTCAGCAAGTCCAGCTTCCCCAACTAATTGCCCAGAGGCACCCCCACTCCGCAAGCCAGCCTCCTGCACAACAGCGCTCCACTTCAGTCGCGCCGTGAGTTGGGAGCCCCTCACGCTGTCCCTGGGCTGGCACCTGGTGCTGCTGCTGCTCCTCGCAGCTCATCGTCATCCAGGACGCCGCCGCGTGCAGGATTGCTCCATCCTGGCTCTTGCTGGGGACGAGCCGGCCTTTGCTGCTCAGGGAGCTCATTCTGCGCACAGCAGGCTGCTGCTCCCGGGCATCCTATTGGCAATGACTCACAAGTGAATCCTGTCGGGATCTTCCCCCACCTTCCCAGACCCAGACAGGGTAAGGTCGTTTGGTGGAAGTTAGAGACTTTTGTCTGGAAGAGCCACATGACATTATTCCCTGCCCTTGCAGTCACCCATGGTCTTAGTGGAGCTTCCCGACTGAGCGCAGACTAAGAAGTGTCCACTTCTGAGGAATTAGCCATGAAAACATCACGAATAGCAGCGTGGAATATCGTCCCATGTACTCGTGGACAGATCCAGTGCCAGAAGAGGCGTGCCTCAGCAGGCCGAGGGGCTCTACCAGGACGGAGGAAACATCCCCCCTCAAGGCGGGGCCCACCAGGACGCAGTGGAGGGAGGAAGACCTTCATTTGCTGATCGGAAACGACTCAAAACAAGAAGATACAGCTGCAGGTGTCTACTAGTCATGGCAACTTAGAATGTACGGAGTGTGAGTTTAGGAAGGTTAGAAGTCATCAAAAATGAAACAAACTAGTATCAGACAGATGGGCTGATATCGGACTTATGGACTGACCTGGGATGTTTTCTCAATATGCAATTGCTCTTTGATATAAAGCTTTCTCTTGCACACTCAAACACACACAAAAACTCAAAATGAAACAGACCACCCACTCAGTTTCAAAATGAAACAGACTACACCACTAATGTAGGCATTAGTGAGCTGAAACGGACTGGTATTGACTATTTTGAATTTGACAGTCATGCAGTTGACTGTGCTGGCATGCTGAGTTCAAGAGGAAAGGCATTGCGTTTGTCATCAAAGAGAGCATTTCAACATCTATCTTGTTCAATATTGCCTGTGATAGAATCATCTCTAAAAACTTCAAGTATCGTATATACTCGTGTGTAAGCTGAGTTTTTCAGCACATTTTTAATGCAGTTTGTGGTGAAATTAGGTGCCTCGGCTGATAATTCGGGTCGGCTTATACTTGAGTATATATGGTAAGCCCCATTACTACAACTTTTATTCAAATGTATGCACCACCAACTAAAGCGAATGATGAAGAACTTGGTGAATGCTACCAACTTCTTCAGTCAGAATTTGGTCATTCGATCTACATGCAGTGATAATTGTCGCCAGTTGGAGTGCAAAAGCTTGAAACAAAGAAAACAATAGTTGGTGAATTTGACCTTGATAACAGAAATAAAGATAGAGAGTACATGGTAGAATTTGGTAAAACCAACCGCTCTTCATTGCAAATATCAATTCTCAACAACGTAAACACTGCCTGTACATCGACAGGAATCAAACTGACTACATTGGTGAGGAAAAACGATGGAGAAGCCGTGTCAACAACCAACATGAGACCAGGGCCTAGCTGGAGAACACCAGTTTCTCATTTGCATGTTTAGGGTGACGCTGAAGGAAATTTAAACAAGTCCACAGCACCCAAAATAGGACCTGAGTCTATCCCACCTGTATTTTGAGAGCATTTCAAGTTCTGTTCCGCATTTCCCTTCGCTCCTTGCAGGACCGTCTAATGGGTGTGCCGTGGTAGCGGCACCATCTCCTGGCGTCGGGGGTGGGGACTGATGGCTTCCATTGTCTTCGCTCTTCCCTCCAGACGGGGGACAGACAGCCCGACCCACAGTGACACCTTTCACGGCTGTTCCCAAGCTGTTGGGCCCTGTCTTCTCCCTGCAGCACTGTGCGGGCCATGCCTGTGGTGGGGTGTCGTGCCAGTTGACTTTGGTGTTCTCCCAGGACCAGGTCCGCACCCTGCAGGCCAGCGACTCATTTCCTCAAAGGGTTTCCATCACTTTGCCCCTGCTACGCTCCACCTGCTTCATGGCGACAGACTTTTGGTTTCTTCCCACCGGGCTACATTCTGCTTTGTTTGCCGTGTATGACGTTTGTAAGTGCGGTCTGCGCTGTGTGGCCTGAGCTCAAGTAGTCTCCCGGCTGGGAAGGCACCCCCCTCTCTTGAGGGTTCTGCTGCTGAGCCACCGGCCTTGTGGCAGGCCGTGGTGTTCTGGGAACAGCCTTGTGTGGGCTGCATCCTCCTGTGCCTGGAGACGACCGGGGATCAAAGGACTTGGGTGTCCTTGGAGTTGCTATTAGCTCGTCACTGACACATGGCTTTCAGGTTGTTGTGATCTGCTGCGTTTTTGTTGGCTGATTCTGGGGGTGGATCTGCAGGCCTCTCTTCCTGGTCTTAGTCCTGAAGCTCTCCTGAAACCTGGTGAACATCACAGCAAGATGCACACCCCAAGTCTGCATCCCAGATAGCAAGTGGCAGGGCTCGAGGTAGATGTTTGTGGCCTTGAGGGCCAGGCCATCTCTGTCACAGCTCTTCAACTCTTTGCTGTTGTAGTGCCGAAGGAGCCACAAGGGGTGTGTCCCACCAAACCATTACTAAGGGATGGGAAAGATGTGCACGTGTGTTTCACTGGCTGCCAAGGCATTCGGCTGTGTGGACCATTAGAAACTGTGGATAGCCTTGGGAAGAATGGAACTCCTTGACATCACTGTGCTCATTCAGAACTTGTCCGTGGATCGAGAGGCAGCTGTGCAAACAGAGCAAGGGCACACTGCACGGTTTAAAGTCAGGACAGGTGTGCAGCAGGGTTGTATCCTCCCGCCACACTTGTTCAGTCTGTGTGCTGAGAGCGTGGCACCTGCGGTGTGCAGAGGACACAAGCTGTCTTGCTGAAGAGAGGAGGACTTGAAGCACTGGCTGATGAAGACCAAGGATGGCAGCCTTTGGTATGGATTGCACCTCGATGTAAGGAAGACCCAAATCTTCACAGTTGGACCAACAGGTAACATGATAAATGGAGAAAAAGTTGAAGTTGTCAAGGATTTTGTCATACTTGGATCCATTGTGTTAGTCTTGGTAGATTAGAGAAACAAATTCATAAGCATGCATATGTATATAGGAAAGAGTTTTATATACAAGAATAATTGAATATTGAGAAAACCTCCCAGCCCAGTCCAGATCAAGTCCATAAGTCTGATATTAGCCCATATGTCTGATACCAATCTATAAAGTCCTCCTCAGACTCACGCAACACATGCAATGATGCTGAAAACAGGAAGATCACAGGCCAGTGGGTGGGAAGCCTTGTGGATCTAGTGGCGGTGTAAGCATCATAGTGCTGGCAGGGGGTCTCCATTCGACTCATCCAGCTCCCAGGGCTCTGGCAGCATCAGGGTAGCTTCATGCGGCGGCTTGTCAGAAATGTCTCACAGGGAGTGAGCGAGTGTCCCTCCAGCGAGTTATTTATCTTCTTAGCGCCTCCAGATGAGGTCATCAAGCTGCGACCTGATTGGCAGGTAAACTCCACCCTTTCACTCCTAAGTCTCAAATTGACAACAGATTATGAAACGACCACACCTATAATCAGTGCTCATGGAAGCAGCAGTCGAGTTCAGAAGACATTGCAGTAGGTCAGTCTGCTGCACCAGACCTCTTTAGAGTGCTGAAGAGTTAAGGCTGGTATTGCCATGGTGTTCTCCATTGCATCACATGCATGTGAAAGTTGGACATTGAGTCAGGGAGGCTGTCGAAGAACAGAGGCATTTGAACGGTGGTGCTGGAGAAGAATATTGAAAGCACCCAGGACTGCTAAAAGGACAAACCGATCTGTACTGGGAGAAGTAAGGCTGCCCCTCCTATGTCCTCCTTCAGCGCCTGGTGTCTCCTGACTTGTCCAAAGTAGACGAGATGAAGTGTCACCATCCTGGGCCTCTACAGAGCACTCTCGCTGTATTTGTTTCAAGACAGGTTTGTCTGTTCTTTTGTCAGTCTGGTGCTTTCCGTATTCTTCGCCCGCACCGCAGTTCAAATGCTAGCTGCTTCTTCAGTCCTCCGTATTCAGTGGCCAGCTTTCCTATACATGCCACGACTTGGGCCAGGCTCCCTTTAGTCCCCAAAGGAACACCCTGGATTGTCAACACTCTCAAGGGGTCATGTGCAGCACATGTACCCAAGTGCAATGTGTTGTGTGACCTTCGACAGCTGCTGCCATGAGCATCAGCTGTGGATCCAAGCAAGATGAAATCCTTGACACTTCAGTCTGATCTCTTATTTTTCAAGATGTTACCTCCTGGCCCAGTTGTGAGGATTGGGTCTTCTTTGCATTGGCTTGTAATCCCATCACACTGAATTCTTAGTTGTGGCTGTAAAAAAGCGGGAGGTGACCAGATGGGCTCTTGAGTCATAGGTCACTGACCCCAATCAAGTTGGTTGGGACAGTCTGACAACTGGACAGGATTGTGCCTGCCACTTTGGGAAGGCAGTAGAGTTTCCTGCTTGTTTCAGCTATTAAAATGGATCGCAGTCTCCTAGCTTTCCAGCCATGCGTCTCTTGCTAGCTTACGCCCCGAGTTCTGTTTTAGGGTACAAAGGAGACCCCATTGCAAATAAAATTTGAGGAGTTCATTTATTAAGTCTTAAAAGAGACAGAGACTCCGACGCATCCGGATGGAGGAGGCCATTGGCACCATGTCAGAATGGCATCGGGGGTGCGTGGCGAGACCACGCTTTCCAAAGGGCCCGGGAGGGCAAAGGGAGCTGTCACGACGCCTGATTGAGGGCAGTCAGAGCAAGACCTGTAAGGCATGGCTGACGCCTGTGCTGCTCCCAGTGTAGTGATCTGCATCGGGGACACACCCAGGCAAGCCCTTAAGGGACAAACCACCCCTCCTGGGATTGGAGAGGAGACTGCGTTCCCCAGGCTGGCTGGAGGGGGGCAGGTAATTTACTTTCCCAAGCACTCTGCCTGAGGGGGGCACCCTCATCTGAGTCCTTGCTTAGTGGATGGAAAGAATTGCCTGGAGGCATCGTCTAAGTGCAGACTGCAAATGGATGGGGGCTATCAGACCAGGGTGTTCGGGATTTAAGCCCTGATGTGGTTGGTTCTTGGTCTGTTGGATGTGTTGATAAATAGCCGGTCTGTTTTCTTCAGTACGTTTTCTGACTGCTTTTGTACATCTCCCAGTACTAACCGAGGTGACCTATGCTTGTTTGAATCTCCCTATATTTTTTCAGAGTGGACCACTTTCAAGTGCAACTTGCTTTTGAATCAAAATATGAGACTCTGCCTTTTCTCCCTCCTTCTTTTGCCTATACGAAGACCTCTTTGCCAACCTAGTGTGAACCCCCTGCCCTCCCAGTCCTAAGCCTGCAGAGGAGGCTAAGCACAGGGGAGGCACCTGCCTGTCATCTGATCCTGGTCCCATCGAGACAGGCTCTGGTTTGTGTGTCAGCGTGTTGCCATCCCGAGTCCCGCCCGCCCATCCTATCTCTCCGTGCATCTCACAGGTTGAAAATTTGCTGGTCAGTGACCAGGGGACCATCAAGCTGTGTGACTTTGGCAGCGCCACGACCTTGTCGCACTACCCTGACTACAGCTGGAGCGCTCAGAAGCGGGCAACGGTGGAGGAGGAGGTGAGGACAGGCAGCAGCGGTGACACAGTTGCGCTAACCCTCTCGGGTCCACCAGTGCACACAGGCCAGTGCCCAGGGCACCCTCTCTTAGTGCGTCGCCTCCTCCAGCTGCAGCCTGGGTGCTGGTGACAGTCAGGCAGACACTTCCAAGGAGACCCATCCCCCACCTCCCCGGGTTCAATAAGAACATTTCACTTTGTCTTCCTCCGACTCACTCCCAAGCTGCGTCCCAGTGCCTCAGGGCTCTTGTCTAGAATTTCTTGCCGACATCCTCAAAGGGATTCCGGATTCCAATGTAGAGTTTCTGTAAATTGTCCAACAAGTCAAAAGAGTGCAGCAAATGCACTGTCTGACCTGCACGGCTGCTCAGAGGCCCTGCCCATCCATCCCCTGCCCCAGTCTGTGGCTGCTTTGTGGGGTACGGCTCCCCTTGCTGGGGCGTGCATCTGTGAGCACCGTCCCTCCTTTGTCCAGCCCTAGGCCGTGCTCCCTCAGCAAACCCTAGCTAGGGTTCTTAGGGGTCCTGGCACCTGCCGGACCTTGCTATGTGCACAAGAGCCTTCCAGCCACCCACTGTCAGACCTGGGGTGCATTGAAAGCGGTCTCTTGGCCGGGAGGCTCTGGGCTGGCTCTGCCCCATGGTTGTAGATCCCTCTTTGTCCCCAAGCAGTGCCCACAGACACCCTCCTCCAAGCAGGCCTCAGGGAAGCAGCAGTCAAAGACATCAGGCACATCTGGAGCTGTGCTCACACACTCATTCGACTGCTGCCTGGCGTGGCAGTGTGACCCCAGTTGGGTAGAGAAAGACCGGTGAAAGGCTTGCATAGATGTAGGTGACTGCCAGGAACACTAGTGCGGCACCAGCCTTGCTGTGAGCACAGCTGGCTCGGTGACTGTGCCCTGTGTGCCAGAGGCCGGTGCTCCAAACCCAGGTCACTGGTCCGTCTGGATGGATTTACACTGCCCAGGCTGGCTGCTTAACCAACAGCCCCTCCCCACCCAACAGCCGAGACTGTGCAGTCAGGGCCACGTTGGTCAGCGATGGACATTGTCTGCGCAGTGAGAGGCCTGCGGAGACCTGGTAACTCTCCCCAGTCTGGGCAGGGGCTTTCGTCTGATGTGACAGGGCGCAGTGCTACGAGTTGGGGCCTGAGCGGCCTCACACCTCTCTGGACTGTGCCCCATGGAAACGTCCCTTCACGGGTGTCCTGCCGGGTGATGGGGGCTTGTCTGGCCCCTTGTCCAGTCTGGGCAAGCATGGTCACAGGCCGTGGGGGGTCTCCCTCTGAATTGCCTGTTTCCCTCTCAGATCACACGGAACACGACCCCCATGTACCGGACGCCCGAGATGGTGGACTTGTACTCCAACTTCCCCATCTGCGAGAAGCAGGACATCTGGGTACGTGTGTGTGCCTGCGTCCATCCACGCCCTGAGCTGATGTGCCTGCCGTCGGGCCCTGTACAGCTGGGGTGGTGCCTCCACCCACCCTGCGGGGGGTGCCCTTGGAGTGGATAGGCATGCTCGAGACCACGCAATATCTGTGCCCTCCCCGGTCTGGGCAAAGCCACTAGACGTGGGGGTGTGGGCAGCACATGCTGAGCCTGGGAAACACTCTGGGCCTGCTCCCCTGGCTCTTTCCCGCCACTCGCCCAGCCAAGTCCTGACCTGAGCACCAAGCTACCTGCACATGGGCGATGGTGGCACTACTCTCCGTCTGGGTTTACAAGTGGAGACAGCCTGTGGCTGTGTGGTGTTGGGGGAAGACACCCCACTTTTGAGACCGTTTACAAGTGCAGAGCCCCCAGACCACCCTCCGCTTGGCCACAGCCCTCGGATTTGGAAGTCGGGTTGAGAAGAGTGAGAGGGTGCTGGTAAAAATCAGTCAGCCTTGGGGAGCGATGAACTGGTCAGGGCAGGGGACCGAGCCCAGGAGGGCCCAAGGCAGGCTGGCCCCTCCCTGTGGAGTGCTCGCTGGCAGCAGTGGTGACCTCGTGCACAGAGTATTGCCCACCTGGGAAGCTCACAGAGGCTCTGGAGGCAGCATTTATTCAGGTTGGTCGTGTGCACGTGGCTGGCCTTTGATCTTAAGCCTGCCTGCCTGCGCTGACACAGCAGGTCACAGGCATGGCTGGGATGACCCACGGCCCCCAGGAAAACAGCCCCTCTTGGCACACTGGGGCCGAGACTGGCTCCCAGGAGCCCTGGCCAAAGCCCAAGGGCTCTGAGCTTTGCTGGGTTTTGTTCTTTGGGGGTTTGGGCAGTTCCCTGGTGCCATGGAGAGATCAGCCACTGTGTGTGTCACAGCTCGGCGGCGTCCTTGTACACGTGTGATCGTGTCTCATGTCTCTGGCAGCAGTAGTAATAGATCAATCCAGAGGAGACCGGTGAGCGCCTCCCAAGGCTTTGCTCTGACCGGGCTGGACAGGCGTGTGCTCAGCAGGAGGCCAAGCACAGCAGGGTACCAGTTCGAAGCCCTGGTTTGACATTAGTGAGAGCGCTCAGGCACTGACAAGGCGGAGCAGGCTTTTGGCCTGAAGGATGTCAGGATGGAGCCACTGCAGCCGTGCTCACCCCTGTGTCCTGGTCCCCACAGCCCCGGGCACTCACCGCCTGTCCTCATCCCCAACAGGCCCTGGGCTGCATCTTGTACCTACTCTGCTTCCGGCAGCATCCTTTTGAGGATGGAGCAAAGCTTCGCATCGTCAATGGGAAATTCTCCATCCCCCCCAGCGACACCCGCTACACAGTCTTCCACGACCTCATCCGTAAGTTTCCTAGGGGAGGACAGGCCCACTGTTGTGCAGTGCAGCAGTGGGAGGTGGGGGGTCGGAGGAGGGTCTCTCTCCTTCCTGAGCATCCTGCCTGTGGCTTTTTTGGGGATCCCCTTGCTGGACTGGCCCCTGCTGTGCTGACAGGTTCTGAAGTGGGGGTGATCTTGGCTCCTTCTGTGTTGTGCTTCACCACTTCGTCCCCTCACGCGTGGCCCCGGCTGCCTGTGGCCTGTGAGAGTGGGTGACTGTTTCCCCCGGTGAACACAACCGCTGCACCTCCGTTCCAGGCTCCATGCTGAGGGTTGACCCTGAGGAGCGGCTGTCCATCACCGAAGTGGTCAACCAGCTCCAAGAAATTGCTGCTGCCAGAAACATGAACCCAAAGTCACCTATCACAGAGGTAGTAGGGGCTGGGCCCGCCCAGGGCCGCAGCACGCGGTTGGACGACGAGGTCCCAGCTGGGTGGTGTGGGCCTGACTGAACGTCTGGACAGGGCCGAGCGTGCTGGAGCGTTCTCCTGCCGCTCTGCGCTGCAACAGAGGGGCAGGCAGGCAGGGACCTGCCCTGATGCCGCCGGGGCCCAGGTCCAGAGAGCAGGGGTGTGTGACCCTGACTCCCTGGGAAGGAGCCCGGACAACAGAACGCAATGGGCAAAGTGAGGCAGCAATGTACCCCGCCCCGTGTGGGGTCGCAGGGGTGGAGGCATTCGTCAAAATGAGAAACTGATTCCCACAGTGGGCGTGCGGGGGTACCGTTCACACTGTTGGTGTGGGCCCCCTGGGGACATACCGGAGGAGGCGCCCAGACCTATCCATCAGACAGCCCCTGGGCCGTGCCGATGGACAGCGTGAGCCGTGGCAGGCACGGAGTCCTGCCTGTGGGCGTCTGTTTCGGGAGGAGTGAGGGCACAGAGGTGCTGTGTGAGGAAACGGGGGTCCGGGGGAAGAGAAGGTGGCTCAGCCGCCACCACCTGAGACCACTCGATGGCAGCCTCCCTGGGCGCCAGGCCCTGCGGGAGGAGTGCACAGTGACCCCCGTGGCAGGGGACACTCCTCACTTCCTGTGGATGAAGACAAGGCGGAATCTCCCAGACAAGTAAACCTCACTTCCCTGCTTCACGTGGGGACGTCTCACCTCTCTGCACAAGGAAGCCTCTCACCTCCGGTGGGACAATCTGACCCACTTTTTACTGGACAAGGAGACACATCTCTTCGTGGTTGACAAAGAGACCCTTCTCCTGTTTGACGTGGACCCTTTCCTCCCCTGTGACGTGGGGACGTCTCACCTCTGACAAGGAAACCCCAGCTGTCAGCAGGGAGCTCCTGCTCCACAGCATATCCACCCCACCCCAGCAGTCCCTGCGCCCTCCTGGCGCCTCCTGGGAGCCCTTCTTCGTGCGGTGCTCGGTGCTCGCTGTGCCCCTGGAGCCCGCTGAGCATCTTCTCTCTCTCGTTCCCGCCTGTGTCTCCCCCACCTTCTCACCCGCATCTCAACATGGTCAAACACGGAAGCCAACCACAAGCCACCAGCTTCTTACTCAGCATTCCACAAGTCAGGGCTTCGTCTTGCTGTTCTCTGCACAGCGACGCTATGAGTCCTCTTGTCCTTGCTCCGCCATTACTTGGCCAAGTTACGAGATTCTCTTCGGGTCACCCACACCTGGCTAGGCCCATGGCTCTCCTGGCGGCCTGCACCACTGCTCACTCAGCGATGCTGTCCTTTGGCCAGCCTTGTCTTCCTTAACCCCCTCACCCCTCTGGGAAGCTCTGGGGCCCAGTGCCCAGCCCTCTGCTGTGAGAACTTGCCACCGCTGCGTCTGCCCAGCCTCCTTCCACAGCCCTGGACTCCCACTGTGGACAGCCTCATGGGACTTGGGACAGAGCCGTTTCCTAGACCACTCGCCGGAATCTCCCGCCAGTCTTGTCCTCCCACCTTGGGAAGGGACAGCTCTGTTCCTTTTGGTGCCCCGCCCCTGCACCTGGGTCACCCTGGACTCCCTTCTCTCGGACTGTGGCTCACTGGCAGGATGCTCGCAGAGACCTGCACCGCAGCAGAGGTGGGGTTGCTGTGGAAGCTGAGACTGCCTTGGGTCTCTGCCCTGCATCCATCGGACTTCAGGACACAGCCCAAGGAGGGGCTCGGCCCTGCTGCGTCTTCCGGCGTCCCCACCACCCGGCGCTGCTCTGTCCATCCTTGGGCAGACGTGACCGCTCACATGCTGCAGGGGAGCCAGGCCCTGGCCGGGGCTCCTGGGGCTCTACCTGGGTGAAGGCACATGGGCATTGACGGTGTTGGGTGTCATCGGTGTGTCCCCAGATGCCGTCCCCCTGAGGGCACTCCTGGCGGTTCCCGGGGGCAAGTGCACCCAGTCTTGTCCCCGTCGGCCCTGGGTAGTGCTTTGCTGGTCTATGGGAAAGTGAGAGGTCACCTGGTGGGGAAGGACGGCGGTCGGTGGGAAGTGTCCCTGTCCCGCCCGCAGCTGGCGGGGAATGGGTCACGTGGAAGATTGATCCTGTGCATTTGGAATCGTTGCAGCTCCTGGAACAGAATGGAGGCTTCGGGAACAGTGCCCAGCCCCGAGGGCCGCCCCCACCAGGGGCTCTGGGTGCCCGGCCCTCAGGCACCATGAACAGCGGGTACAGTGGAGGTCAGTGCTGGCGGGGTCGCTCGGACCACCCTCCTCTTCCTCCTGACTGGCAGGACCCCTGGCTGCGCACAGATTGTCCCTCCCGGTACAGCTCCTGGGTGCTGGGGAGCAAGAGTCTTTCTCTGGGCTAACGCGGGCTTCCTGGGAGAGATAGACTGCCAGTCCAGGGTCCTCTTGTCCCGCTCTCCTATAGCTTAGTGATACCCCCACCCCACCCCTAAGGTCCTCAGAGCTGGTAGATTTGCCATTTACATTTTATCTCTAGGAAGAGAAGGCTGGGAATGAGCCTTGCTTGTGGGCTCCACTGTCCCCTGTGGGGACATGGAGGGTGGTGCTTACTCTCCTGGCCAGGCAAGCTCCCCAGGGCCCTAGTGCCCACGAGCTTCTGGGTGAGTGGTCTTGTAGATCACAACCTCTAGCCTTCCCCCACCCCACTGAAGAGGTCCAGCTAAGGCCCCACACTGTTAGCACGGACTGTCAGGCAGAGCTTCCCAGGCCTTGGAGCCCCTGCTCCCCCTGGCGGGGGCCAGAACACCATAGCGTGGCAGGGACGTGGACGCAGTGGCAGAGGAGCAGGTGGCCTTATGCTAGGAGGAGGCTGAGGTGGCTCGTTGGGGTGAGGGTTGGTGTGACGTCCAGCGCTAGGGGAGCAGAGGGAGAGGAGGGCGAGTGGACGGAAAAGCTTGTGGGCGCTGCCAGGACGTGGCCTCTCAGAGACATGAGGAAAGGTCTCTGGCCACTGGGTGAGGGACAGCACACTGGGCCAAGACAGGTGGGGAGCGCTCTGAGAAGAAATGCTGGTGGCTCTGACGGGGGGGCCGTGGGAAGCCTCACTTGCTGGCCTTCCTGGGCCAGGGAGTGAGATGGGAAGGTTTGATCATCCTGGGACCTTCCACTTCAGCCAGCATGTGATAGGCTCCGAGTACCTACCTGCTGGACCCGGGTTCCTGGTCCTGTGGCCCCCCTGAGGGGAGGCAGGTGGGCACCAGGGAGGCCCTGTGGGGCTGTGGGTTGCTGAGCAGCTTTGGGGGAGATGCAGCCCAGATGCCAGCACACGGCTGGGGGAAGCTGCAGCCTGCCTCTTGCCTGCTCATGGCCCAGCCTTGGGGAACCTCACCTGGGGTGGTGCAGGCCGGGCCGCAGTGGACCCGTGTACGTGCACCCAGACACTGCGATGTGTGCACATCCCCCTGCCAGCAGGTCTCCCTGGCCTTCCTCTCTGTGCCATTCATGTAAGTCGTAAATCATTCACACAGCGTTTCTCCCTTCCCGTGCTGTCGGCGCTTTGAACGGTCCGTGCTTTAAAGTGTGAAGTGCATGTGAACGACAGATAGGAAGGCGCACAGCAGCACAGCACTGCCGGGCCCGGTGCCGTCCTCACAGCTGTCCCTGAGCCTGTTGTCGCGGCCACAGTGTCATCCTGTCAGCCCATCTTGTCAAGGGCCTTCCCTCTACGGTATCGAGCATGAGGGCCTTCTCCAGGGACTGGGCTCCTGATACGTGCGATGAAGTCTTGCCGCCGTTGCCTCTATAAACTGCATCCCAGCACACCCACAAAACCCCAGCTACACCCAGCCGAGGGCCACTGAGTCACTCCGGCTCACAGTGCCCTGGACAGGCTTGATGGCGGTAAACAGTGACAGGAGCAGACAGCCCCGCCACTCTTCTTAGAAGCAGCTGGTAGGTTTGAACCACTGCCTTGCAGTTTAGCAACCCAGTGCTTACCAGGACTCCTCACAGACCACAGTAGAGCACAGACTTCCCTTCTGTGCCCTGGGACTCGCTGGACTGCTACGTGGGGTCCGGAGCGGACCAGAAGTGCCTTTGGGCTCTGCCTGTGGGTGTGGAAGCTGCTTCTCGGCTCCTCCCTCTCTCCCTCTCTCTGAGGAAATGGTCAGCGCTCCCTTTTGGGAGGAGGAAGACTTTCGAACTTGATGCAGAAGCCATGTGGCCAAGAAGTGTGGAGGCAAGTAGCTGGTACCTTGGAGAGATGGCCAGGGGGCTGAGGTGGAAGGTGGAAGGTGGCTGGAGCTGGTGACCACCTGAGGGGGCCTGCTGGCCTCCAGCCTGCGGCCTTGTGGCTGCTCTGCCCTGGACGGGTGAGCACTGGCTGCTCTTGCTGGCCTTCCTGGGCCAGGGAGTGAGATGGGAAGGTGGCCTGGCACGGTCCCAGCTGCTGGCAGACTCATGCCTCTTGTTGTTGTTGTTGTCGTCACTTGGATGAAGGTTTCCAATCGCGTTTCCAGTCCGCAAGTCACACCCTTCCACCTCATTGATCCTGGCCCACAAAGTCGAGTCCTGCACCCTCTTCCTCCCCCAGTTTCCTTCCTGTCTGTCCCTCCTCCTCTCTCCCGTAAACCTCCTCCCTTTGCCCTCGGGTCAGTGCTGCCCTGGGATCGCATGGGGGTGTTCCGGGGAGCCAGTCTCTCAAGGTATTGGCGTCCCCCGTCGATCTGTGTGCTGGACATTGAGCCCCGGGAAGGAGCGCGCTTCCTGACCTGAGGGTGAAGAGGCTGTAGGCCTGGGATCCTTCCCATCTCTGCCCCACCAATAAGCCCGGTCTCTCTTGTGATTTCCGGTTTTGTTTCCACATATCTCTCCCCTCTATCCAGGGCCTTCTACTTCTAATGTGACCCCTTCCAGGGCAGTTGGCCCTGGCAACCAGGCACCCTCTAGTTCATCTGGTCTCCGGGTCGTGGACGCTGACAGCCTGGTGGCCTGTTAGTCTGCTGGGCTCATTGTGCCATGCAGCTGCCCTCTGCATCGCTCTCTCTCCTCTAGCCAGAGAGAGGCCCGTTACGGCCCCTCGGATACCGCTCGCGAGCTTTGGAGAGCCGCTGCTCCGTACACAGCAGGATGTAGAACACAGGCCTGCGTTCGAAGGGAGCTGCACTTATCTGAGAGCCTGCGGCATCTGGCTTTGTTGTAAGGCAACAGCAGTGGGAGAGGAAGGAGAAGCTCCGGAACAAGCCGCTCCTGGGTGAAGAAGCCTCTTTACTCTGAGCTACCCAAGTATCTTTGGGCCGCCTCTGCTGGACACCGCCTTGAGCTACAGATTCAAGAGCCCAGGCCAGGGCACAGTCCCCTCCATGTCTGTCCACAGAGTGTGGGGGGTGTCCGGTGTTTGCTTTCACACTGACTTTGTGCCCCCCCACCCCATCAGGCCATCCCCTCAGGCTCCTGTGTTCTGGAAGGACTGCAGCATGTTGACCAGCATGCTGACTCTGTCCTTGGTGCCCTCTGGAGGTGCTCAGCTTGGCACTGCAGCCATGGTGGCTCAGTGCCAGACAGAGGGCACACAGTGGGGGCAAGGCACACTGCAGCCAGCCGGCCGGCCCTTACCTGGGCAGTTCTTGACCGCTTCCTTTCTCAGAAGGACTAAGGCAGTGGTCAGGACAGTGGCAGACTGGCTGGGCTTGAGGCTGGCTCTCGGGTGGGCGGGCTAGATGAGGCCAATGCTGCCCGCTATTTTCAAAGCTCTGTCTGCTCTCAGTGTATGGAGGCCCCAGGGCTCCGCCTACTCCTCCAGTCCCACGGTGACCCTGCCTCAGGGTCCAGCTCTGCCCCCGTCCACCCAGCTCTCTGCTCCCTGTGCTTGTGTCTGCCCCCCTCCCCTGGTGACTGACTCCCCCCGAGGGTCCACGTATCCATCCCCCGCCCCCTCGTAGCTCTGCCCACGACTCTGGCTGTCTCCTCTCCCTTGTCCTTGTAGACAGCTCTTTGAGGTGGCATGTGCTGCCCCCAGTCCTCTTTCAGCTCGGTGGCCTTCTGATGACATCTGACCACCTTCCTATGGCCCTTGAGCTTCAAGAGGTGCCTGTGGGACGCCCCCAGACATTCCCCCTGCTCCTACTTGCTGCTCCAACCCCTCTTCAGACTCCTGGGCTGCACAACCTCTGGTCTTCGTGCCACGTGCTTGCTCACTTGCTGGGTCACTTGGTGGTACTGTCACCACACAGCCTGGGCTGGGGCTCTCAAGGACCTTCCTGGAGTGGAGTAGAGGGCAGGCCCAGAATGGTGGCAGGGGTCGGGGGCAGGCAGGCACACTGAGAGTAGGCACAATGTGAGCTCGTGTGGGAGGGGTGCAGGGTCTCCTGAGCTGCTCTGGGCACACAAGAGTCAACAGGCATCTCCGGAGAACCGAGGACAGAGACTGAGGGAGGGAAGTCTGGGGCCTGGGACCACAGCAAGCACAGCTAGGGCACCTCCCTGTCGGGACGAGCCCTGGGAAGCAGGGTGCATGCCGTTGCCAACCATAGCCCCCATGGGGCCTTTCCTCTAGCCCCTCTGGGGGCCTCGCCTCTGAATACCCAGGTCACCTGAGCAGGGGGCACGGTTGCCTGGTGCTCCCAGTGTGTGCATGTTGACCCCGCCATTGTTGTCTGCAGGTCTGGCGCTTGCGGAGTACGACCAGACCTACAGCGGCTTCTTGGACATCCTCAGGGGAGGCACGGAGCGGTTGTTCACCAACATCAAGGACACTTCCTCCAAGGTCATCCAGTCTGTCGCCAGGTAAGAGTGCGCGCCGGCCCGCAGCCGTGTCGCACTGGGCGTGTTCTTCCTGTCAGAACGGTTCTGTGGGTGCAGCCTCGGCCCAGGCGCCCAGCAGACCAGAGCTTGGTGCTCAGGCACAAGGCCCTTAGCGTGCCCAAGTGCGGCTGGGCAGCCATTCTAGGCTGTGGCCACACCCAGGACCCTTCTCAGGGCCCCTGAGGTGCTTGGCCCAAAGCAGAGAAGCTCTGCCGCCATCAGAGCCACCCACCAGCCCCCAAGCTCTGGCGTCAGCGTCACCGCTTCCCCAAGAGGACGCCCTTCCCAGGCCCTTCTGCTCCGCCATCCCCTGGAGGATGCCTCGGGCTCCTGAGGGGCATCCCTTTCCAGTGCTGACACGGCCGTGTAACTGCCCAGCCCTGGCCCGCGGCCCGCCCCCCGCCCAGGCCCCTCGCAGACACTGAGCGCGGTCGCAGCCCCTAGTCGGGTGTCAGCTTCCTCACCGTCCCAGCTGTGAGGGCCTTCAAGGACTCTGGGCGAGTGCTGCCCCTCCAAGGACCGTTAGGTCCTCCAGCTCAGCTCTCAGCTTCCAGGAACGACGTGTTAGTGTCTGTGCGGCAGTGTGAGGGGGTGAGCAGACGCGGGTGTGATCTAGTAAGCGCGAGCATGTGCTGTGTGCGCACAGGAGCACTTGCTAGCGTGGCCGGTCTGAGCCGTGTGTCCCCACGTGGTCTGTGCCCTTGGAAGGGCTCACCTTCTTTCTGGAAGCCAAGGGCCCTCCTCCTGGGTCCAGTTCCCCCTCAGCAACTGGCGTGTGGTCCAGGTATAGTTCTCTCTGGTGTGGTAGGATCTTGCTGGATCTGGCTGGCTGGCTGGCCCTCTGCTCTGAGATATGCTGGCTGTAAGTGCCCTCGGGGACCTGGGGCCTCATTCACATTGTGTTTTCTTTTGTATGACGCCGCCCTTTGTGTCCGTGCCTGCTCACCTGCAGCACCAGGTAAATGCATGCGGCCCGAGTGGCGTGCTGTGTGCTTCCTGCTGGTCGGCTGGCCGGGCGGCTGCAGGCTGGGCCCTCAGTGCATGGCTGCAGGGGTGTGGAGTGGCGCTCGGTGTGGCCAAGAGCTCCTGCAGCCCCGCCCTGCCTTGGTGGCCCCGAGGAGGGAGCTGCAAATGGGTGTGCTGCGAAGGAAACTGGCCGTCAGGGGGACAGCCTCCTGCTCAGGACCTGTCTGTGGCAGTGTCACAGCTTGTCTGAGGGCAGTGACTCCTGTAGGGTCTCCACCGGAGGACACGTGGTCTCCTGTGACAGCGCCCCAGAGACCCCCTTGATGGAGGGTGGCTCTGGGTGGCCCAGCCCCCACCATCAGCGTCACCTGGGTTTCCTGCCGACTGGAGCCCTGGTGGCACCATGGCACCATGGCTAAGCGCTTCATGCTAACTGGAAGGTCGGCGGTTTGAACCTACCAGGCGTGCCTGAGGAGAGAGAGGCCCTCCTTGGACCCCACCAGCTGGCTGGGATCTGAATCAACCAGGCAAAGACCAAAAGAGCCGCCCCCCAAGTCACAGTGAGCCCTCAGGGGTCTTGCTCTGGGCCGTGTTGCTGGCCATGCCGGGGCTGACAGGAGACGGGGAGAGAAGGTGTGCAGCCGTGAGGGATGACAGGAGGGGCCCAGGGACATGCACCCCACAGAGGCTGCTCACAGGGAGAGAGGCATGGCAGGCGTCCATGGGATGCCCCAGGCACCCCCAGCAGAGGGCGGCAGCCCCCTCACAGCTCTTCCACCAGGGAGGCTCGTTAGTGGCTCAAACCCCCAGGCTCGTGGGTGCTGTGCGCAGAATTAGCCAACAAGCTTGCATCATTCTTGGGAGCGTGGCACCAGGCTGCTGTGAGCGAGGGTCTGCGAGGATGGCTGGAGCCTGCACTGTGGGTGGCTGAGCACCACTGTCGGGGCCAGGCCTGGCCCCAGGCGACTGCACTGACCACTTGGGCCCCTCCTGTCTCCCTGGTGAGACCGTAGCGTCCGAAGGACCCGCCATCCACGTGGACAGTCACAGGTACCTCACCATCTCCTGTCCCGTCTTGTCATACGAGTGCACGGCACGGTCTTGGACGAGGAGCTGGCAGGGGGCTAAGCCCACCCATCTTCCCAAGGGGTGGTGGCCAATTCTCAGGGAGCCTCACGGTCATGTGAAGGGTGCCAGAGATGTGCCTTCTGTGAGCCTGAGGGACCCGCGGTCAGGTGTTGACGCAGCCCCAGCTGGTGGCACGTCCTTGGGCCCATGTCCTGACTGAGGCCCCAGGGGTGGGGCGCAGTGTGTAGTCGTGACGCCTTCCTTTATGGGTCTCATTTACAGAGGTGCCGGGTCTGCACCTACATGCACATCCAGGGGTACACGCTGGCACATGCACACCCCACGTTTGCACACGTACACCCCACCCCTCAGGCTCAGTGAGGCAGCCTCCTGGCCTGGGGCTCTGTCCCTTCCTGAGACTGAGCAGATGAGCTCTGACCGCGAGTGCTCTCCTTGAATTGCAGCTACGCGAAGGGCGACTTGGACATCTCCTACATCACGTCCCGGATTGCCGGTATGTGTTTGTGTTCTGATGCTGCTTTGTCTGGGAATGCAGCGGCAGCGGCCGATTCCCAGTGGGACCTCGGACGGCTTTGGGGTGCAGCTGGGCGAGCCAGGGGCAGGGGATTCGCCTGTCCTATCGGGACCCTCAGGGGACCTGTCAGCATTGGCTTCTCATGGGGTCCTGAGTGTCTTGGGGATCCTGTGACAATGAGGCGGTCCCACAGCATCATCCTGCAGGGACCTGAGGGTGCTAGGGGTCCCTGGGCTCTGCAGTGGGGGGGTGGGGGGGTAGTGCTGCAGTGCCTGCTTCAAGCCTGGCAGTGGCCGTGGTAGCTGAGCTGGTGCATGGCTGGCTCCCCCAGGCACAAAGGGTGGAAGTGCGCAGGTGGCAGACACCTGTCTGGACACTGAGTGCCCTCTGCCCCTGCCTCAGTGCCCTGAGAGTGCCTTACGTGCGGGGCGCCTTTACCTGGGTTGTGGGCGGCCTGGGTGGGTGTGTTTTCTGCCCTGGTGGCTCCCCCGCCAGCTTGGCTGCTGTCCCAATTGGTCTCCAGCCCTGGGCAGCATCCACCTGGCTGAGGGGCAGGTGCCCGTGTGTACCCTGCGGCCGTACAGCAGCTGGTGGAGCTCCAGGTGCTGGGCTGAGCCTGCTAGTGGGCGGGGTGGGAGCAGTGCCGGCGGGCACTGGGGCTGACCCCCGCTCGTTGCAGCCATGTCCTTCCCGGCTGAGGGCGTGGAGTCTGCCATCAAGAACAACATTGAGGACGTGCGGCTCTTCCTGGACTCGAAGCATCCAGGGCACTACTCAGTCTACAACCTGTCCCCCAGGACCTACCGGGCCTCAAGGTTTCACGGCAGGGTCAGTGGACAGGCCAGGGAGGCCTGGAGGAGCCGGGGTCCCGGCCAGGTCTGGCTGTGCACAGGAGCTCCAGAGGGGAGGGGCTCGTGTGGGGCACAACTGGGACAGAGCAGAGGTCGCTGTGCACTCTGCACTAGCCGGTAGGGGTGTGGTTTCACACCAGAGGGGGAGCGTGCCTGTAGGAATCCCACCGGGACCGCCTAGGTTTAAGCTGCGCGCCAGGCGAGGGACCCCTCGGTCCTATAGGCGTAAGGACTAGCAAAGGGGTGACAGCCTGTCACCGAGGACATGCGTCCTCTGCTGGGGAGCTCCCAGGGTGACCGTGCTGGCTTCCCTGTTGAACAGCCAGCCCAGACAGAGCACGGCGAGGGCAGACACTGAGAGTCCTCTGTGAAGCGTGGTTACTGCAGCCGCCAAAGAGCCAAGGGATTGAGAAGCACATGGGAGAAAGAGGGAGCTGGCGAGCCCAGTGCCTGCAGGGGTGCCCGTAGGGGTGGAGGTAACAGTGGCGTGTCCCGTCACAGGAAACAAAGGACCCTAAAGTGTGGGGTCAGGGCAGGCAGGGGCTGGGCTGAGCCAACTCCTGCCCCACAGGTGACAGAGTGCGGCTGGGCCGCCAGGCGGGCACCCAACCTGCACACCCTCTTCAGCATCTGCAGGGACATGCACGCGTGGCTCAAGCAGGACCCCAGGAACGTGTGCGTGGTGCACTGCATGGTGAGTGGCTCGTTGGGGACTGGGTGCTTGTGACCCGGGGATATTCCAGGAGGGAAAGGCCACCCTGACAGAACGCAGAACACTCACGTTCTCGAGGGTAAGCAGAAAGACATACATGACCCTCTGACTCAGGTGGTGCTCAGGGGTGTGGACTAGCTGGCTGCTGGGTGGGGACGGCTCGGAGAGCAGGCCGGCGCCTGGTTCCTGTGGGGCCACGGAGGGCGGGGACTGTGAGTAGGAGCAGGGGGAGCAGAGCCAGAGAGCTGCTCACAGCTCACGCAGGGAAGGTGGAGGGTCCTGTGGACACGGCCCGGAGCGTAGGTGTGAGCTGGGGGCAGAGGCCAGTGGGCCTGCTTGGAGCTCATGCCTCTGCCGGAGTCTGAGCTATCGGCGCCTCCCTCGGTGTGCCCCACAGTAGAGAGGACCACGGGAGGCAGGCAGGGAGGGAGCCGGTGCCTGCGCCCGCGAGTCCTCCGTCCTGCCCGCAGTGTCGAGGCCTGGCCAGGCTGTGACGATGCCCATGTCCTTCCCCGCAGGACGGGAGGGCTGCGTCGGCCGTGGTGGTCTGCTCCTTCCTGTGCTTCTGCCGCCTCTTCACCACCGCCGAGGCCGCCGTCTACATGTTCAGCATGAAGCGCTGCCCGCCAGGCATCTGGCCGTCCCACAAGAGGTACCTGCCCGAGCTCCTCCAGGTGCTGTGTGCAGGCGCCCTCAAGGTGGTCCAGGAGACGTGGGGCAAACAGAGCTGACAGGCCTCAGGTGGAGGAGACTCACCCTCTAGATCCACCCCCACCCTCCACACACACAGGCCCCTCGAGGTGGTCTTGACAAGGGCTCTTGTTTGGGTGGGGTAGCCTGGAGGACCCCTGCGTCCATGGTGGCTGCCCATTCGTGGGGCACTGCTATTCATGGGGCCACAGGGAGTGTGGCCAGGAAGCCTGGTTTGAGCCCGACATGGTGCAGTATTCTCTTAAGGCCCCCAGGGTGGGCACCTTCATGCTATCCCCGCTCACACACAGGATGCTGTTGTGTGGTATGTGAGCAGGTTCGTGAACTGATGGGGAGTGCGGGCTCAGATGGTCTTCCAGCTGATGACCCCATCACCGTGGGGCATGTGCAAACCTCCTTCCTGCGACTCTGGGTCAACCCAAGTCAGCTCTCTCTACTCAGCAACAAAACTCAAGTGACCAGCCAGGACCAACTCCCCAGCCCCCACACTGGGGCCACTCCTTGATGGAGTGCTGTGGCTCCTCCCTCCGGCCCTCTCCTCCTGCCGTCCCATCCCCAGCAACGAAGTTAGCCATTCGGAGGCCCCAGGCTTCAGAATCGCTCCTCTCTGAAAGCCCTGCTCAGGTCACGGGGCAGGGACCAGATCTGCTGGTCGGAAAGCACGTGAGCTTGACTGGGGCAGGCCGGATGTCCCCCCACCTCCCACAGAGCCCACGGGGAAGCGAGGCCATGCGCTCAGCCAGGGAAGCAAGTAGTCAGGGGCTGACATGGCGGACAAACACGGGCCCTATGACTGTAGGCCCTATGGAGGAAAACGTGTCCTACGAGGAATTCTGGGCCGTGCGTCCAGCAACATGTTGATGACTGGGATCGTCCTCGAAGGACCCAGCGAGCCACGCTTAGAGGGCTCAGGTCATCCTGTATCTATGTTGAAGTGGGGTTAAGACCATTCCTCAACAGAAGACCCCACGTCTAGGTTGTTGTACTGGTGAGATTATGCAAAATGTTGTACCCACTGGTCTAGTCAACAGAGGAGGGGTGACCAAGTGCACAGATGCTGCTTCAGCCAGTGGGGTTCGCAGGGCCAGCCTGAGACTGGACGGCTGTGTAGAAGATTGACTTGTATTTCAGTCTCCCGGCAGGCACTGCTGGTATGGGAACTTTCTCTTTCTTTCATTTCCATTTACAATACCAAAACCTGTTGCCATCCAGTCAATTCCAACTCTTGGTGACCCATTTTAGACAGGTTGAACTGCCCCCCAGGATTTCCAAAATGGACACCTGGGTGGGAACAGACCACTGCATCTCCCCC